AACGCGTGGGAGCTGCAGAAGGCTGATGCCTCACGCTGAGGGGCTGACGGATTGATTCTGATGGGCACAGAGGCTGCTCTGGCAGCCGGTCCCCCAACAAGCATCAGAGGTAAATTTAAACCAGAATTTAAACCAGAATTTAAACCAGACCTGGCTTCTGTCTTAGATGTGGGAAGAGAGTAATAATAGGGAAGTGGGGACAAAAAATTATTTTAAACCTGTCCTACATTTACAGTAATAATATTGGCACTTTTACAGCATCACCCTTCCAGGGACATCAGACCATTTTTTTAAAGGTGGGTTGCTAATATTCCTTTTTACAGTGACAAAAAGAAAGGTCAGAAACCTAATCAATTTTTCAGGAGTGTTTAGCATATTATGACTGCACTGTATAAACACGGTACAAGGCGCCTAAACTTCAGTTTTATTTACAAAACTGCAATTCCTGATCCTCTTATCACCACTGTATTAACACTTTCATCATGCTCCACTCCAGCATCTCAAAAGGCTCCGAGCATAGTTTCATAAAAAGATATTTATTTTCATCTTACATGTAAAATACAGGTTTAAAGCTTATGTGATGCTTAGATTTCTGCACAAGTAAAATTCAGGAGGATGGCAGAGACCTTCACTCACACAGACAAACAGACACACGCACAGGCACCAGTAAAAGAGCTTTCATAATGACGATTAAAATTAGCATCTTTGCCACTCGGCTTCCACCGGCAGAAGAACCAGAAAACACAGTCAGCTACTGGCCCTCTTCTCGAGTGCAGAACTATTTATTTTGGGACTGTTGTAAGGGTTCTCACCTCCAGCTGTCCTCCCTGTGTTCTGCTGGAATCCCCATCAGGCCACTGCAGGGAGAGCTCAGCTGCTCCGGGGCAGCTGCTGAAAGGCTACTGCTCTCGGCTGAAGGAAAACAGGTTTGTTTTCCTTCACACACCCCGGGCTCTGAGCTGCTGCATTTCAGCAGCACCCACCTCAGGGAGGGACCAGCGAGGTAAAAAGAAGACTAAACCTGCACAAAGGTAAGATGATTGAGAGCCCTGAGCACAAAAAACAATCCCCACGTCCAAAAGTAAGGCTCAACCTGTAAGTACACTCACTCAATGTGCTTATGTTTTCCCTGCCAGAATTTAAACGGAACTTGATTGGGGTTTTTATTTATTTATTTCAAAAAATAAGTAGTGAAAAGGAACGTGGGTGGTCACGAGCTGGGGATGGTTTCGTAAAAAAGTGTTATTAAAGGCCAGAGCGACGATTTCCACGAAAACCTCTGTCACATCACTATCAGCTGAAACAGCCTGCCCAGTCACACTAAATATAGCTGACTAGTTTAAGATTGAATCTCTGTATTCTCTCAACCAATAATATTACATGTACGAACTCCACTATTCTCCAAATGTCAAATGGGTTCATATTTTATTAATGCCAACTCTTTCCCCTCCCCCTAAATATCACACACCTTCTGTGAAACAAAAGTTGAGGCTATTACAAATCAAATGCATGATTTCCCGGTAATCTCAGTGGGAGTTTATAAAGCACATTAAAAGCAGGACCATTTCCTAAAGAAAAAGAAAAAAAAAGGCAAGATCCTATTTCTCCAGGTTAGTAGTCTAATAAGATCTCTGGGTTTTAACAATGTATGGCTTCATCACAGTTGAAAGTTTTTTCTTCTATGATCATACAGCTCTGTTTTTATTTCACTATTATTATTACACATACAATTTACACACATTCATACCTTTAAATATTTTATTCAACCATATATATATATACACACCTTTAAATACTTTATTCAACCATATATATATATATATATATTTCTGCTAATATAAAACTCTGCTTATGCTCTTTGCTTTAAAATGAGAGTATTCACATGGGGGTTTACTCCAGTACAGAAAAGGCAATAAAATTATATAGTTACAGATTGTTCAAGGTATCTCCAGGTATGAATAAACTTATTTAGAAGACTTTTGCTCTGGCACAGAAACCTCTATCTTTCTTACTCCCCTACTGCTGAATTTAAACCAGAGGAGTTTTAACACGTACACAAAGTATCCTAAAACCAAGCCACCAAGCCATGCTGGTGACACCAGAGGAAAGATAATGAACTGCTCTAAAAGGCTCAGCCTGTAGCAGCTTGGGCTACAGCTATTTTATTTTCACATTATTTATTTTTATAAAACTCTCCCATCCTCCCCAGATGGGCCTGTCCCAACAGATACACAAAGTTTATTTCACTCTTCCTTTTTTTTTTTTTTTTAACCCTGCAAGTAAATGGGTTGTTGTACCTAAATTGGGAGGGTTTTCTCTCTGGTTAAAGCCTAAGTAAGTAGTTTTACATTTGGATTTGTCCCCAGGCTGCATCCTACTGTTGCTCACTGCTATTGGTACCACTGATCCCAGCCTCATATAGAACACCTCAAAAGTCTAAACGGCTTAAAACCCGTTTAAAAGAAAAACCCAAAACACCCCCCAAAAAAAACCTCATATGTAAAAACAAACAAACAAAACCCCAAACAGAAACTTCTCATACTTGGCAGTGCCACACCAAAGGAGTGAGAAGAACTTGCCTCTAAGACATAACTCTTGGCAAAAAAAAAATATAAAGTGTGAAAACTTTCAGAAGAATAATAATCAATATGAAGCAATATTGTAATTGTTATTTATTATTTTGCAGCTGCCCTTGAAAGCAAGGAACTAAGGTGATGCCTTTAATTAAAACTAACAGAAAGTAAACATGGCTTGTACAAAACATTCAAACACAAGCACTTTGTACCATCTTCAGAAGGTAAGTGAAACCTGTGGGTGGGAGCACTGCTTAGGACGACAAAATAATATTCCAAATGATATCCCTTTATGCAAAATGATGGTAATATGTGCCATGAACCCAGTTCTCACCTTTGCACGTGGAGATGCATACCCATAAAGAAATCACTCCAAAAACAAATTCCCTTAGCAAACAACACTGTCCTTAAGCTGCACCCAGCTACTGATTTATGGTATGCAGCAGGGCCCTGCAGCAATATATTGCCCTGCTATTCACATACCTGTCACAACACTCAGCTCCCATGTTGCTTTACTCATTTCTCATCATCCCATGATTTTTAAAATAAATTTTTCACTAGAGAATAAAGCTTCCTCAAACTCCCTCTCAGAATAGAAAGAAAAAAAAAAAACCAAAAACACAACCAAACACATGCATTACTTTAAAAGACAGCAACAACAACAACAAAAAAGCAGACTGTGAAACCAAATCAAATCAATCCTAGTGGCTGCAGCATTGTGGCACTAACAGAGATACAACAGGGTAAACAGATCATGGTTTCTTTGTTAATACTGCTTTTACCAATTTTCTTTTCAGGTTTCTCACTTGATGACATCCTCCTTCAAAAACACACACGCAATGTTTCCACTGCAAAACACCGAGAAGACAAATAAAGACCCTGTCTGAAACTACCACAGAATCCAGGCTCTCCTCCCCAGAAATAATTTAGCTGTTCTCACCATCAGACAAACCCTCAGCCATGGTCCTCTTCACTTCCATGCTTTCCTCCACCCTTATGGTAGGATCCTGTCTTTTTTTTTTTTTTTTCCCTCAATAGGTTTTCTAAAACCCATCATTTGTTATCCAGACCTACACCTGAATCCAGGCTCACTCCTGCACTACAACATGGCTCTCTCTGCTTTCACTGTAAAACTAGTTAATTTTCAAATTTTCCAAATTTTGATCTCCCTTTAGTTTGCCACATTCTCCCCCGAAACCAAATTACTGATTTTCAGAGAGTTGCAGTATTTATTTCAACTACAGTTTTTCCAAACGAGAAAAGTACCTTTTAAGACATCCATCGAATGAATATCATTTAAGAGACACACTATCTATTCGAGGAGTGGCCGTATAAACGTTTTCAATCAAATGTAATTAATGAAAACTTTTTCCACCTTGAAAAGTCAGCCACATACACGCACGACGGACACTCTTCAGCACCCTTCCCAAAGTTGCCTTCAGGAACATTGTAACCACGTGAAATCCTATTAGTAGGTGCTGAACTCCTACATTGTGACTCTTCCGGCAGCCTTCTACATAACAAAAATGCAATGAAGTACCATACAACTTTCCCCCCCTTATTATGCAAAATCCTTATCAAATTCAATAGTGTGACGTCGTTGTTCAAAATCCCGCCTAACAATGGCTCGCAGGAGGTCAAGAGATGTCGGCTTTGTTTTAGCTTTTTTTTTTTTTTTTCAGTCTATTAAGGCCGAAAGGAAAAAGAACCTTCACAGAAATAACCGATAAAGATCAAACCCAACCAAACAATGGGAAGGAAATTCAGACTTAAAACTGGTACTCAAGCCCTTCGGTGAGCGAGCAGCCTACCGTGCCAAGGCGCTGGGCACAACACCCAGGAACTACAAGGTGAGGGAAGGAGCCTTCTCTCCTCCCCACTTCCCATGCTCTTGCTGATTGCTGTTGTTTTAAGAGGGTATTTATATTTCCAAGGGAGGAACTACCGGGCAGCCCCCCGGACTCCTTTGTGCGGCAGGTTGCGAGTGGAATGGAATGTGTCATGCGGCACACGTTCCCACTCGCAACCAGGAGGACAAAGGATTCACTGATCAGGGGGGGACAATTAGTCCCAATTAGGCCTATTTCGCAGCTGAGTGTAAGGGGCTGGGGGAAGGGAGCCTAATTTTTTTAAAGCAATGGGTCCCTCAGGCGAGTTAAAAGAAAGATCAGTAAAGTGACAAGCTTGAGAACATTCGCCCTACCAGTCACCGCAGAGGCGGTGGCACCTCCAGGAGAGGATAGAGCAGGGCTTCTCAAACCTCAGGCACGCCAGGTAGGAAATCCGGTAACCATTTTGCCTGTTAGCTGACGTGACTAACCAAAATTTCCCAGTTTTCAACCCGCTCCTCCAGCAGCAGCTCTCCCGTCTCGGACACAGGCAAGACACGCACACAGACACGCGGGCAGGAAGGTCGGGAATACTCACATATGCACATGTGGAGGCTGGAACCTGCTCTGGTTGATGTTGTAGTGCGTGAATGCCTGCGTCGGGTTGGAGCTGTATTCATCCACTGTTATGGTAACTTTGCCTTGTGAGGGAATTCCATGAGCCATCCTTCCTCCTTATGGACATGAGCAGCTCACAGCTTCCCAAGGCCAGGAGCGGGGTAGGGCATTGTGGTCCAGGCAGCTCCCGATTCCCAGCAGCTCCTCATCAACTCCGTGACCTCTGCCAGGAGAGGAAGACAGCACACACTGCTATAAGCTAGGAGGAGATGTAAACATACACAGACAAATTACTCTGTCCTCTCCTGACTTCTATTCAGACACCTCTCTCTATATTTTTATGTACCCATCACCCCATTCTCTAAGCATTACTATTCGCCTTCTTGTTTGTTTGTTTACCTTGGGGTGGGAGGAATAAAACATTTGCGTTTTTAGCTTCTGTTAAATACTCCACGTTTCATATTCTTTATTTGAAATAACGTCTCCTGCTAATTGCAACCACGAAAATTAACAACTGGACCGCAGTTTGCTGAAAGACAAATGACCTTCCACAAAAATACACACTTGTTTTCAAGGCCCTATTGCAGCTTTACAACATGAATGGCAATCGAGAGACTTACAAGAAACTGATGTAAAGAACAACTTTAAAATTGCGTAGCTCAAGTTACACCCAAATACCTCTAAATCAAAGCATTTATTCGTCTAGAGAAAGGAGATTATCCAGACAACGTTAGCAAAATATCCACGTTGTTGTGCACTGGCAATGAAACTGGTTTGGATTCACCACCAGACAGTAACGATTTATCTGACAGATTTAAGTGCAATTTTACGCGTAAATATTTCTGAATAAGATGAAAGGAACAGGCTCTTCCCTCTGTGTGCATCCCTATCTTTCACTTCTTCAAAGTGCTCTTAAACCCATTTTTCGCTAAGACTGGATGCACACTGTAATATAACCAGAACCCAAACAGCCAGAACCCTCCCAAAACCTGCTCTGCTGAGTTTCCTGCACAAAATCCGAGCTTTGATTTCTCCAGTCAATGAACTGAGGATACCTCAGCTGCCTTCCTTTCAGAGGGGCTCTGTGAAAATTGATCGGCTGATGTTCGAAGAACACTTTCAAGATGAGCAATTCTTTTAAGAGCCCTGCTCAGGAGGCAGATGCTCAGCTGGGACACACTATCCTAGCAAGGACTTCCATGAATTCACGACACCTGGCATCAGTTGATAGCCCTCCCTTTCGCTGCCACACGCAAGAGGGGTTTTTTTCCTCCATATCTGGTGTGTAATTTACAAAAGTAAATCAGTGCTTACTGGGAAGAACAAAGAGCTGGGAAAGAGAAGAGAATGGTTTGAGTCCCGAGCATCAAACCAAACACTGTTTTTCCCCTGCGATTTCCCTGGACTTCTCCAGCTCCCAGACAGAAATGTGCTTGCCATGTATAACGTGAAATGTTTGAAATCTTTGATTTGTATTCAAAATATATTTTTTAATACAAAGAACTAATTTCCAGTTTGGCATGAAGCATGATGAAAATGCCCTGCAAATGGCAGATGGCCTGCTATAGGCCATTTATTTTACTATTTTACCACCTCGGGCCTATGTAGGCTTCCATATGTTAGTTGGGATAAGACATTCTGCAACCTTCATTCCAGTAACTGCGTTCTGCCCTACGTCTTCTTCAGATGGAGGAAAAAAAAATATAAAAGAAGATGAAGATGAAACTAAACCATAAAGCCCCAGCTTACAAACCATCTCTAATAAGATGGTGCATCTTTGTAACTCAGGTTATGGTCTGGTCTCCACAAGAATCCCCTTTGTAAGAACAAGTTTCAGCAGCAAGGTGAGCTTTACTAAAACAAATCTTTGCTGCCTTGTGATGTCATATAAGATGCTGCAACAACTACTCACGAATCTTAATGTAGTGGTTACCACACCAAGTTTGCAGCTGTTTCCTTAATTTCCTTTACAATTCTATTTTAGTGTTATTTTGCATAACAGTAAAACACAACACCTGCTTCAAACCGCAGTCCTGTTCCAAGAACTGTAATTCTTTTGAGATAGAAACTGCGGAAGAGTGCCCAACACAGAGCAGCATAATTGCCCTGTACTGAAAAGTAAATACAAATGAAAACATCTTCCTACCAGAGAAATGGCTGTCATTATAAGAATGCTGCCCATCAGAGCTCCCGGGAAAAAAAACAAACAACAAGACTTTCTCTCTTACACGGCAAGAACTTTAGCCTCTGCATCTATTAAAGAAGTGGTGTGAAAATTACATGTGTAATGTTACTTTTTTCCACAATTAAAAACAGCAATATGAGCAACGCATTAAGCCAACAATAAAATTCTGCTTGGGCCTTCAGAAAAGCTAAATGACACTGTTTTCAGTAATTCAGCCTAAGAAAGGTCAGAACATTAAATTTCATATTATAGTTCACTCATGGAAGAAAAATCTAATTTGTTCACGGGAGTGAATTATACATAAAGATAATAAGCATTTTTTCAAGGTTTAGAACAATCCATGTTACAGAAAGAAAATACAACTAACTGTCATAAAACAAATGATAAGAGGATACTTCAATAGCTGTATTAAATACTTTTAAGTTGACTCTCAGTAAGATTATAAGTATATAAGCTGCAATTCCTTCCCACTGTTCTAGTCTTCAATCTTAAAAATAAATCTCTATACTTAAATTAAATCAAAGCTAAACAAACTATCCCTTTAAACTGAAATTCACAATAAATGCCAGACTGGGGGTTAAAAAGGAATGTAGAATTTGAAGCTGGCTTCTGTGTCAATTCTCTTAATTCTCATTTAGTACTCTATAGAGTACTACAGCTCACCTATCAGAAGTATCTAATTATTACCTTCCTTACTGTGAATGTCTCTGAAGAAAATAGGAAAAAGAAGCTGAACACTTCAAAACTTTTAAAAAGAAAATGTTAGGCCCAAGATTAAAAAAGAAAAATTAAAAAGACTCCTTTGAATGGCTCCTGTTCTTCTTCCTCCAAATGCGAGCACTGTTTGAAGACTACACGCAGGAGATGAGTACAAAAGAATAAAAGTTGCATTATTTTCCCATCTATCAAGTGTAACAATGTGTAATACCTTCCACGCCTTACGAGGCAGTTTTAAGTATGAACGACCACATTAAAAACCTTAGTAATGATTTTTTGGGGGCATGTTGCATTTTCCCAAAGATAGGCGGTTATCCTTTTTCCAGCCTGTAGTTGTACCGAGTTGCAGCGAGACAGGGGACGTGCCATTGTACATATCTGCTCAGTGTTACAGGTACAAACCGGCACTTTTACAGAACAGGGCCGGCCCAAACTCAGGCGCAGCTGATTGTAAATCTGTGCGCTGCTGCCCTGCCATAAAAACTACTACGGAATGAGCACAGGTAAGTCATTTGAGATGTAACATTACATTTCACGCAGAGCTAACACACCCGAGCCCTGCGTACGTACACGCACACACAGAGGCAGGCGAAAAACCCATTTCCCCAAAATAAAATATTTACGCCTCCCTCATCTGAATTTCAAATAATTTGCCTCCGGCTGTAAGGGGAAATGCTGAAAGGCAGGAGACGGGAAGGGTTAAGCCCGTGTCAACACCTTCTGTTGATACATCCATCCGCTGCTACACCGACACCACGCGTTCCGCCCGCCCGGGGCGCGGGCAGCGGCCCCGCATCCCCCCGCACTCACGGTGCGCTGCCCCTCCACCCGCGGGGGGCTGGCAGCGGCCTCGCAGCCCCCGAGATGCTGCCCTGCAGTTTGTGGACAACTCCTGGCTCCAGACACCCCCATCGAGTCCGGCGGAGCCCCTGGGGGGGCCCGACACTCCCCCGCCCCGCTTCCCCCCCCCCCAACACCCCGCCGAGCCCCGGTACCTGCGCTCCCGGCCGCTCCCCACCACCACCGCCGCCGCTCCCGGGCCGCCCCGGCCGCGGCCCCGCGGGGCGCCGGGCTCGCCCCCCGGTGATTGATGGCTCCGGGTGGCCAATGGCTCCGGCGCGGCCCCGTCCCGGCGTGTGCCGCAGCCCCCGCCCCGCGCCCCCTGCCCTGCCCTGCCCCCGCCCCGCGGCTCCGGGGGGCATCGCTGCCCTGTCTGCGCCGTACGTGCCGCTCTGCACAAAGTTCGCGTCGCCCCCGTGTCCCCCCTGGCTGCCACGGACCGGGATGATCCACGGGGGGGGGAGGATGCTCGGGGGAGGGATGCGATAAACTCCCGCGGCAGCCGCGGGCGAGGGGGGTGTGCGGGGGGAGGCGGGATGCCCGCTGCTTTTCATCCCGGCGGTGCCAAGCGCGCCGTCCCTCACACCTCTCGCCCCCAACCCCTTGAAAGCTTCCAAGTGTCTGAGGCCTCCGGGATCAGCGTTTCAGAGCGGCTTCTCCGCCGGCGAAAGGGCGAGGGGACAACTCCGCCGGGGAACGGCGAACCAACCCGCCTTTCCCTCCTTTACTTTTGCAGCGTGTTCCCTCCGTGCACACACACACTCCCACATCCCCATCCATCCCCGCGTCCCTCGGCGCCCGCAGCCCCGTCCCCGCCGGCCGCCCGCCCGCTGGCCCCAGCCAGCACAATGCTCCCCGGCCTACCCTCCCGGCCCCGCCGCGCCGCCCCCCGCCCCGACCCCGCGCCGGCAGCCCCGCACACCCCCTGCCGTCCCCGGGCCGCCTCCAGCGCCGCCGACCCCCTCGCCGCCCCCTGGCCCGAGCGGGGGGCGCGGCGGCGGCCGAGGGCAGCGGGGCCACGGCCTGGGCAGCGGGGCAGGGCGCTCAGCGCCGCCGGGAACGCGCCGCGGCTGCGGGGAAGCTCCGCCGCCACCGCCGCTGCTGCTGCTACCGCACCGACCCGACCGACCCGACCCGACCCGACCCGGCGGGCTCGGGCGGTCACGCCGGGGGGCGGCAGGAGAGCAGGCGGCCGGGTTTATCCTCATTATTGTTCGCGGGAGGCTGGACCCGCCGCCGCCGCCGCCGGAGCTCCTGCCCGCCCCCCCCTCCCGCGCTCTCGCCCATGACACGGCACCTCTAACCCGCCGCTTTGTGCAGCGCTGCCCCCGCCGTGCCCGCCCTTGCACCGACACCGGCCCGGGGCCGCTCACCTTCCTTCCCTCCGCCGGCTGCCGCTGCGGGCGGGTCGGGGATGCCTTCAGCGGGGCCGCTCCATGGGGCTGCGGGGGCGCGGCCGGGGCAGAGCCTGCGCCCGACCCCGCGGCGGTGCCCGGCGGGGCCCTGGCTCCGCGTCCGGCTCCGGCTCCGGCTGCGGGGCGGCGGCGGCGGGCGCGGTGCAGTGATCGGGACTGCCACTGGGGTCAGGGAGCAGGCACCAGGAAACACGGCGGCCACGGCGCGCTGCTCGCACACACACACACACACACACACAGAGACACACACACACACGCACGGCTCCTCCCGCTGCCTCGCACTTCACCCCCGCGGGCAGGGAGGGAGGGAGGGAGCAGTCGCTGCTGCATTTCCCAAGTGCGGCACGGCTTTCCCCCCGCCGGGCCGGCTGGAGCGGGGGCTGTGCCGCCCATTGGGGTCACGCCGGGGTGCCCCCGGGGGAGCGGGGAGGGCAGCGCCGGAGCCCACCGGGACCCCCTTCCCCGCCCGCCTCGCACCCCCAAAACGCGGCCGGCCCCGCTCCGCGCACCGCCGATCGGCTCTGCCCCTGCCCACGCGAATAGCAAAATAAATAAGTAACAACAGCAACAATTAAAAAAAAAATAAATAAACAAATAAAAATCCTCATCTTCCGCCGCACCTTTCGTCCCTGGGTGTTAATGCGGTGCTCTGCTCCTTTGTAGGTAAGCTCACCTCAGCGGCAAGAAAAACACACAGAAACACCACTGCAGGGTTCGCCTTTGAGGCCGAACATTGTCTTAGGGTGACTGGGGCTTTTCTATGGAAAGATAGAATCAGGGAATTACAGAGGTTGCTGTTGTATCTTTTTTTTTTTTTTTTTTTTTGTCTTCCCCCCCACCACCACCACCCAATCCACAGGAATTGTGTCAACAGCCACAACAGTAACAAAGTAAAGATTATAGGTGTTTGTTCTGTTACTTTCAGACAGCAAATGGAAGGGAAGACTTCCACAAAGGTAACACTTACAATGGGGAAGAGGGAAAAAAAAGAAATAAGGAAGAAAAGGGAAAAAATTCAAACAATTTTGAATAGTCAAGCAGATAGAAAACAGATAACGGGTCTCTAAGAGTAAATAGAGTCCTATATATTTTAAATAAGTAATTTTGACTCTGGCCAACCTTCAGATATGCATGGCAAGCATGCAGGTTTTTCTTTGTTACTGAAAACCGTGAGAAGGGTCCCTTGTACTGCCAGGCAGAAATCCACTGGGATGGATTGTCCTGTTCAGAAGCATGGCAAACTAAGAAAAAATCAACCTAAAAACAAGACTAAATGGCAAAAGGTTTTTTCCAAAGTTGCCCTTTCAGTCTCTTATTTTTTTTTTCTCCATTGTCTTTATCCCTTTTAATAGCAGCAAGCACTGTGAGCCACCAAGGGAAAATTCCTGTTTCAGGCAAAATGTCCCACAGATGAGTCGTCCTCCTAATCAAATCAAAGTAACATTTCCAGGGAAACTTTGCCTGGAACGAAGTCTGAGGCCGTAGTTTCCCAAGTGTTTTTAACTGACTTACTCTGGCACAGCTGTAAAATAAGCAGTCCAGCATTCAACCCACTCCCCCCACTTCTGCCCCTGCACTCACCCTCCTGAGAGAGCTGGGAACCTCACCTGGCAAACTGATCCATTTAGCACCAGGGGAAAACACTCAGGTTCGGTGTGAGTCACTCTCCTCATCCAATCCACTTCACAACTGCGCAGATAATTCTTCTGGAACGAGACAGAGAGCGAGATGAGCAACTGAGGACAGAAAGAGAGCAGGGCAGCTTCGTTGGTGCCACTGCCAACTTCAGTACAGGAACATGGAGGGGCAGGTGAGGTGAGGAGGATCAGCAGGTTTGACCCTGAACCAGGAGCATTGTTTTTAATATGTGACTTGACAGACTCTGAAACGTTTCCTGTTAAGAGCACACAAGAAAACTTTTCCTTTTTTCAAACTACTTCTTTTCTCTTTCCCCAAGGGCAGTATGCTTTCCAAAGATGCACCCACTTTGGAAATGTGCTGGCCCTGGAGTTGCTCAAAGAAGGAAAAAATATTTTATTTAAATTGGTTAAAGGATATTCTGAGGAAAAGAGTTGCCTTCTCTAATTCACAGGAGAGCATTAAAATGCAAATACAGAAAAATAAAACATCTATATTTTGGCTGGAATATGTATTTATTAATACACACTTGACAAGAGGATCTCAGAGATAAATTCAAAAAGCGAATAAGTAAACGAGCTGTTTATTGTGAGTGTCACAGGACTGATTTTTTCTAGCTGGGTGAAATTCAAAACAGTGAACAAACAGCTGATGTTTACTTTAATACTTCCTATCTGTAATATTAAATGTGTATGTTATACATGAAACCTTAGTCGTGTTCAGAGTTTGCACTGGATTTTATTTTTGCACTTTTACAAATCCAAAGTGAGCGTCACCAAATGTGCAGATGCAGGAGACGCATGCTAAATTTTATAAAGCACTACAGCAGCCCAAAAAGCATGCACATTCTCCAAAATCTGTTATGTCATCTCTAATGCAGCTCATAGGAAGCATTGCCTCCAGTTTCTGCCAAGCACAAGACAGAGCTTTTGAGACACACACAGGGTAATCTGGGGTGAACCACAGACACCCATCTCATTTTGCTGCTCAGGAAAAATCTTCCCTAAAGTATTTGTAAAGCAACACAAGAAAGAATCATTTCAAGTCCACCCCTGAGAACTCATTCCTTAAAAAACAGGATTTTTTGGAACGATCTTTTACACAGAAAAGAATTAAAAACAAAAACAAGCAAACAAACGAAAACGTACAAAACCAAACCAACCAACCA